ACATGGACTGGTTCTCTTGGTCCTTTTCCTTGATTTTTTGAAGAACATTGATTTCTAGTCGGGCAGCCTTCCGGTACTTGTCCACGTTGCGAATGATCTTCAGGGCAACCTGAGACTTCCCTCTGGCGTGGTCCAAGCACTCCACCACCTTGCCAAAGGTGCCTTTGCCCAGGTCCCCCACAATCTCATATCGCTCTTGGAGCCAATCGCCCACCCGGCACAACAGGTGGCCCTCCTCGTCATCTTCCACGCTCCGGCTGCTGCACTTACTGCTCTGTTGGCTTCTAGAGGAGGCACTGCTACCAGACCTGGGCCGGCGTCTGTGGCAATGGCAATGGTGGGCACGTTTGCGAGTCCGGTACGGCTCTCTATCCCGGGACCGTCGAAGTTGATGGGACCGTGAAGATCCATAGTAGTCCTCTCCAAAGAATGGGCTCCGCTCCTCACATCGGTATGCGGCGCTATCACGGCGCTCCAGGTACCGCCTCTGGTAGGGTAAGCGGTCATGGCTTCTGGACCGAGATCTCCAGGGTGGAGGCTCCCATCGAGATGGGTATCGCAGGCTCCCTTCGTGCTCCCGACTGTAGGACCTCCTCCTCTTCCATCGGTAGCTCAGGTACGGGTCTGGCTCGGGGGAGCGGTATCGCTTACACTGATGCATAGTCTCCCAGGCTCCCACGGCAACTAGCAACCAACCGCCGGCGTTTTAAATATGCCCTACCCCAGTCTGGAATTCCCTTTCGAGGTATCTGTCTCTCTGGCGGGCACAGAGCAGGCCCTCAGGAACACACAGGTCTTCCCTCACGCTGGCCTCGCGAACCCACTCGGTCCTATCTCTGGACTCACCAGGAGCAGACCGTAGCGACGAAAGCGAAAGGAGAAACTCCCACAAGGCTCTCTCTGGCAGTCTGGCACGGGACTGCAGGAGCCATGGCCTGACCCTGGTATATATACGCCACTACCAGGACCGAGTTATTAACCACGCCCACCAAAGTCCAGGGGCTCCGCCCCCAAGAGGGAGGGATGAATCAGAGTAAGAGGATTTTCAGTGCTTTCCTGAAGCCAGAGAGGATAAAGTGTTAATAAGCATGATCTAATTCGCCCCTGGTATTCTCTCTTGATCCTGCCAACACCATTTATATATTTACTTATTTTTTGAATTCTTTATTAGTTAAGGTATTACAAATGTGTCCTCATCCCCCCCCCCATTAAACCCCCATCCTACCCCCCTACTTATTTTTTAAAAATACATTTCTATTGATTTCAGAGAGGTAGGCAGAGGGAGAGAGACATAGAAACATCAATGATGAGAAAGAATCATTGATTTGCTGCCTCCTGCATACCCGCTATGGGGGATGAGCCCACAGCCCTGATGGGAATCCAACCAGTGACCTCTTGGTTCATAGGTCTACACTTAACCCCTGAGCCATGCCGGCCAGGCATTTATTTTCTTTTAAATCTCTAGGGTTGAGCCCTATCCGGTTTGGTTCAGTGGATAGAACCTCAGCCTGCAGACCTAAGGGTTTGTGTTTGATTGCATTCAAGGCCACCTAGCTTGGTTGCAGACTCCTCCCCTTCCTGGGCCCTGGACAGGCATGAGCAGGAGGCAACCAATGGATGTGTTTCTCTCCTGGTTTCTCTAGATCTTTCCCTCTCTCTTCCGTGCTCTAAAAAGCAATGAGATAATACTCTCAGGTGAGGATTGAAAAAAAAAATAGAGTGCTAATTTTGCTAGGGGTGTGACAGTGCTCACAAACACATGCTATTGAAAACGGTAAAAAAAACCTTGTTGATTGGATAAACTAATAGCCGTTAACCAGTGATAGCATTTCCGAGGTAGTTTTATATTAAAAAATCTTTTAAGCCCTAACCGGTTTGGCTCAGTGGATAGAGTGTCGGCCTTCGGGCTCAAGGGTCCCAGGTTCCATTCCCGTCAAGGGCATGTACCTTGGTTGCGGGCTCATACCCAGTGGGGGGTGTGCACGAGGCAGCTGACTGATGTTTCTCTCATCGATGTTTCTATCTCTCTATCCCTATCCCTTCCTCTTTGTAAAAAAATCAATAAAGTATATTAAAAACAAAACACAACAAAAAGCAAGAAAAAACAAACAAAAAATCCTTTAAGGCACTGATCTTAGCAGAAACCAAGTGGCTGAAATGACCTCCACAATATCAAGGAACAGTAAAAGCAGTGTCATGAATTTTTTCAACTCAGGTTGCAAATTAACCCACATTTGGAAGATTTCAATTCTTCATTATTATCATCTCCTGTTGGGGTCCAGCAGCAGGTCCAGGGGTTCCCAAAGGTGTGGACAGAGTCAGCAAAGAAGGAATGACATGGAGGCAGCATTCCGTTGATCAGCATAGTTGGGTTCTCTAGCCAGGATCTCCAGCCAAGTTCTGTCTTTTATTGTTTTGTTACATCTGTATTTATACCAGTTGATTTTAATCCTGTCAATTTCTATTCCAAAGGTTAGGGTGTTTCTTATCTCCATTCCAGGGAGTAAAGATTATGTAGCTTACGGGTGATTGTTCGTAGTTAAAGTGATTAACTACCCGCCGATCATTTAGTTAATGGATTTTATTCCCTCCCTAACTTCAGGGAAAAATCCCTACCTGGAGAAACAACCTTTCTCGGAGAGGTGACCTTGGTTAAAGCATAGCGCCAAGAAGGTGAGCAAACATATTAAGTACGGTATGCCATATATGCCAGGTCCCTTGAAACATAAGCTGTGCAGATGTTTCTTCCCTGCAGCGACTGTGTCAAGCAGCAAGGATGGACTGGCTTCCAGCAATCTCCCTGTGAATGTCGCCATGTATCCCCAGTCCCTGGCTAAAGCTGTTAAATAACTAAATACTGGCCTGGTCTCGGGGTCTCCATTAGGGACTGAGTGACTTTGGACCACCTGCTGACACTGTGCGTGGCTCTCTCGAGGCCAATTAAGGAAGATCAAATCAATCTGGTTCTGAGTATCTGGGATTCAGGCCCACGGCTCTAACCTCACCCCTGGCCTCCTACACACACACACACTCACCTGTCTCCGCCTGTACACAAGCCCGGCCTCACTGAGACATAAGGGAAGGTCGTCCACATGCACTTTCTGACCAGCACCGGGAGGCCATTGTCACCCCCTTCGTTCAGGTTGACATCCTGGTTCCCGAAAGTTTAGCAAAACCATTTGATGGCTCAGGAAGGCCCCGAACCATAATGAAAGCATGTGCTCTAAAATAACCTGAATCCTAATGAGAATTCCCTGGCGAAGTGCCCACTGGGCCCTTCCAGGGCCGCTGCACTCCTCGGGGGTCAGACCTGGATATCTAAAATTTGATAGGGCGTTTAGGTGACTGAAGGTTCGGACGGGGGACAGGAAAACATAATTAACCGCTTGTGTTTTAAGAGAAGCCAATCCCGAGTTTGGGTTCCCTTTAGAGGTACATGTCTGTCAGTGGGGCACTGCTCAGGTGCTCAGGAACCACAGGTCTTCCTCACTCGGCCTCCCGCACCCACTTGTTCCCATCTCTGGACTCACCAGCAGCAGATGGCCACTGACCTCACCAGCAGCAGATGGCTCTTCTCCGTTCTGAAATGCCAAAAGGGAAAGCTGAATCTGCCACAAGGATCTCTCTACACAGCGTGGCACAGGACTGAAGGATGTGTTTCTTACTGATTTGAGAGAGAGGAGAGAGAGAGAGAGAGAGAGAGAGAGAGAGAGAGACAGAGAGACAGAGAGAGAGAGAGAGACATTGATTCCTTATGTGCCTGCACTGGGGATGGAGCCTGAAATCTAGATATGTGCCCTGACTGGGAATCAAATTGGGAACTTATTATTTTTTGGTCTTTAAAACTCAAATTTTTATTTTATTTTTAAAATTAAATCTTTATTGTTGAAAGTATTACATATGTCCCATCCCCCCATTGACTCCTTCTAGCCCTCCACCCCCACCCTAGGCCTTCACAAACCTATTGTCTGTTTCCATGGGTTATTCATATATGTATACAAGTTTTTTGACCACTTCCCACTTCCCGATCCTCCCTCGGAGATTCAACAGTCTGTTCTATGCTTCTGTGTTCCTGGATCTATTTTGTCAGTTTATTTTGTTCATTAGATTCCACATATGCGTGAGATCATGTGATACTTGTGTTTCTCTGACTGGCTTATTTCGCTTAGCATAATACTGTCCAGGTCCCTCCATGCTGTCTCAAAGGATATGAGATCCTTCTTTTTCACTGCTGCATAGTATTCCATGGTATAAATGTACCACAACTTTTTTATCCACTCATCTACTGATAGGCACTTGGACTGTTTTCAGATCTTAGCTATTGTAAATTGTGCTGCTATGAACATCGGGGTGCATACATTCTTTCTGATTGGTGTTTTTGGTATATTCCCAGAAGTGGGATCACTGAGTCAAATGGCAGTTCCATATTTAATTTTTTGAGGACACTCCATGCTGTTTTCCATAATAGCTGCACCAGTCTGCATTCCCGCCAGCAGTGTACTTGGGTTCCCTTTTCTCCACATGCTCACCAGCATTTGTTATTTGTTGATGGTAGCCATTCTGACAGGTGTGAGGTGATATCTCATTGTTGTTTTAATTTGCATCTCTGGTGGTTAGTGACTTTGAGCATTTTCTCATATGTCGCTTGGCCATCAGTATGTGCACTTTGAAGAAGTGTCTATTTAGGTCCTTTGCAAACTGGCAACCTTTTGTTGCACAGGATAATGCTCTAACCAACTGAGCCACACTGGCCAGGACTGAAAATATTCTTAAAATCTCCCCTTGCCTTTTGGCATAAGCAACTTATACCTTATGCTAGAATTACTTATAGCCTAGTAATAATTTTCCTATGATACTTTCATTACTGCAAATATAGTTGCCTCCTGTTCCTCTCCTTATTTGTAAACTATTGCCATAATGATATTGAAGAGCCAGTATTATACACTCTCTTGTACTTGTAAATTATTTGGCCTAGAAGATCCCAGGAAATCATAAAAAGGTGAGATAGCTTCTTTTAAACAAAAGGTATTTACTTATTTACTATCTTGACCAAAAGCCCTTGCAGGGACCTGCCGTAAGGATAGTTACAATACTAGTGGGAAGTTCTTGCACATTCCCTCAGTTTCAGATCACAGTTTTGGTTTGGTTTTTAATACATATATTTTTTATTGATTTTAGAGAGGAAGGGAGAGGGAGAGATAGAAACATCAATGATGAGAGAGAATCATTGATTGGCTGCCTCCTGCACGTCCCCTACTGGGGATGAAACCTGCAACCTGGGCATGTGCCCTTGACTGGAATCAAACGGAGGACCCTTCAGTCTGCAGGCTGACACTACACTGAGCCAAACCAGCAAGGGCCAGAGCAGTTTTTACGCCATGTTAAAGCATTGCTGAAATCTAGCTATACAAAAATATGTGGCCTGGCCACAGTTGGCTAGAGCACCCATCCCAATATGCCAAGGTTGCAGGTTCAATCCCTGGTCATGGCACATATAAGAATCAACCAATGAATGCATAAATATGTGGAACAACAAATCGATGTCTCTCTCTTGCTCTCTTTGTAAGATCAATAAATAAAACATAAAAATATAAAAAAGTCTGGACTCTTTGTGAATATTTGTGCTGGAAAGCCAGTGACTTAATAATTTATAGTACAGCTGGTATCTTTCAACGCTCAAATAGTAAATCCTTCCCA